AAAGCTTTTTTTTTTTTTTTTTTTTTTTTTTTCATAATTTTTCCAGGAACATTTAGGCACCGAGGGCAGAAGAGGAGAACAGCTAGAAGTAGGTATGTCCTAACATTTAGTCCTGACCGTATTTTTCAGCATAACAGCCTTCCTCCTGCTGCTACAATATACACCAAAACAAGTGCAAGGTACGCAGGGCATTTTCAGTTCACAGACTGGTGTCACCTTGAGTAGACATTCATCATCTCTATAGAACAGACAAACCAATAAACCTGTCAACTTTAATCAAAGATACCAGCCTGTTCCTTTGGATGGAGCCACACGCTGGGGTCCCACTCATTTCATAAAGCCCAAAGAGGCCGTATCTATTCCAACCGCATCTCTTTTAATCCCAGAAGTACAAATCACATTAGCAGCAGTGTTCCATCTCTGCCAGAGTGCAAGTTTGACCCTGAGTTTACAGTAGTAGAAAACTGAAATGGAAGAGTCTAGCAGATTCCTTTGCATATTGGCTGCATTAAACAATTACAATAGAACTATAAAAATCCTAGAAAAAAAAAAAAACAAAACATATTCCTTGTTCAAGTTCTGCAGAAGAAAGCAGGTGAATCGCCCTCCTGTGCTTTGCATTAGAGGAGCAGAGGAAGCATGGCTCGAAGGGAACCTCCCCCCCGACCAAGGGAGTTAAATCTGGCCCCATTAGATGCTGGACAAAGCAACCAGAGGCACTGACAAACTGGAGCACAATCACCAGTTCCTAGAGACTGGAGGCCAGAGCTGGGTACAGACAGGTCAAAGCTATGGCCAATGTTTGGGAATCTTCAAGAGGCTCAGGCCAGTGTGGACACTTCTGTACAGATCAGTGCAAAACTGACCCCTAAAGCCAAAGGCATTCATTCCACTTCCCATCCCTCACGCTGTGTTCAGGTTCCTTCACAGCAGCAGAACTGGCACGTGAATCCCACGATGGTTCAGTGAAACTAGACCCAGAAACGTGCCAAGAACAAACCATGAACCTTCAATAGTTTTCCAAACTGACACCCAATCCAGCTGCCAAATCACAGCCGCCCCTGTGACTCCAGCTAACTGCCCACATGCTCCCAGTGCTCCAACTCCAGAAGTTGGAGCTCCCAGTGCCCCAACTCTGTTCTTCACTGGGGCCTCCCATGGGAGAGGTGTCACAAAAGTCGTCCAGGCTCCATACAGTGCCAGGATGTGTGGACTCAGATAAACACTGGGAGAATCCACATCCATCCCGGGACTACAGATCTGCTCTTAAGATGCTCTGCCTCATCGGCAGCCGATCTTGAACAAGGAATATGCAAGGCCACAGGTAGAATAAATCATACGACTTAAAAGTAGTAGTTAGGTCCCAGAATCCAGTGCAAATATTCTCCGAAGGTGTCTGACAGCATCTAGTCCACCCTTGGCATCGGGATCCAGCGAAAACCACAGTGAGAGGAGGGACCCAGAAGGTCGTTGGGCTGGTGTGCTGACACGTTCCCTCCAGCAGCCGCTGCTGCAGGGCAGGAGATGAAGCCATCAGAAATACAGAGCGGGCTCGCTGCTGAAATCCGAGAGTCCGCCCTTCTCTGCCGGGGTGAGCTGTGGAGAAAGCAGAGTTGACACGGAGGCGTCATCGAACCCGAAGGGAATGAGCACCCACACCTTTGGACGGTGAAGGCTGCGCTGGCGCCTTGCCCGGGGCTAACGAGCACGTTTAATTCCCCCCTCCAAACATGCCCTGGAGTACAAAGCCTGCCAGCTGCCTTATGTCTCCTTTACACACACACTGGAGAGGCAGGTCTGCGAGTGGCACTGGGACCTCATGTCCCTTTGTGTGTGGTGGCACAGCTCCCTGGGCAGCGAATACACACGGGGTCAGTGGAGGACACGTCCACCCCATCCCATCCCCTGCCCAGACCAGCCCGAGCACTGGGATAACCACACAGCGGGACAAAGCCAAAACCTGCTTATTTCAAGTCTCACCATGACTTGGCTCCCATGGGCATCAGCTTCCTTTGGGAGGGCTCCCTCTGCAGCAGGTATCTCCTCATACTTCTGCTCCTGCCACTCGCTGAACTTCACGGAGTGCTTTGGGGTGTAGCTGGATAAATCTGCTGGAAGGACAAAGCTGACATGAGTATTTCTCACTGCCCCAAAAGGGCACAGAATGGGGATGCTGGCAGGGACAGCACGGAAGCTGCCCATCTGTGGTTCCTTGTCCCCACTAAGCCCCAGTTCTGCCATCGACTGTCACTTCCATTGGCATTTCCACCTGCGTGGAGCCCCATGAGGGGCTGCAGGAAACACAGATGGTGTCAGACACCACCAGTAACCCCCCAGTGCCACCACAGCACCTCACTCACCTGAGTTCGGTGTACTGGGATGCAAAGTGCTATTTGGGCGTGGAATGTAAAAGGTGCAAGACTTGTCCTCCTCTGTTTCAGAGGCATGTCCATCCTCTTCCTCCTCATCCTCTTCTGCCAGTGAGCTCTCTGACGGGTACTCAAACATAGTCTGCAAACTTGTCTCATTGAAAGAGATCTTCATCTAGACAACAGCAAAGGGGAATTATTAGAAACCGTTGATCCCAATCTCTGGCAACAGCCACCTCCCATCCCAGGGCTTCACTCTGCTTTGAAGGAGCCATTGCGTGTCCCCCCCCACCTTTCCCAGATTTCCCAGATCTCCTGCCGTGCCGAGAGAAACCACAAAGGCAGATCACCAAATAGATGGGATGGGGTCAGGAGGCTATGTCCAGAACACCTCTGGCTTTTCATCCTGGTGCACACTTTGCCATCCTCTCACAACGATGCCCAGCAGCCAGGAGGAGCTGCTGGAGCATCCCTCAAGAGGGACTGGTGTTGCCAAGGATGCCTCTACACTATGGAACCATCAGTTGTCAGGACTACATTTTTGGGAGGACATCCTGACAACAAGCTATTTGAGCTAGATAAAACACAGGGTTTAATGCCAAAAGCGAGAAGATGGAAGCAGCTAAAGGAGAGGTGGTACCGGGTGGTAGTAAAGAGGGAAAGTACTGGACAAGTAGGAGGTACTTAAAGGCTCTGTTTTGAAACCAGTTTTATTTAGTATCTCACTAGCGACCTTTGCACAATAACTGGGAAACTGAGAACTAAGATGACTCCAACATGGGAATTCATCAAGGAAAAACCAGAATTTTATGGGTCATTCAGAAAACTGGAGAGTAAGAACACTAGAGATGAGACGACATTTAAGATCAACCCTTGCTCTAAGAGAAGTTCATCACCTGTGAATAACTGAGAAAGAAAATTCTGGATGGCTACAGGACTGAAACCACCCTTAGGATGCTGCCTCAATAGACTGGGAATAAAGCAGGGCATTTCCCCTGGAAACAGGGACTGCCCAGCTCCATCCTCCCCAGTGTCACCCAGCAGCTGGAGGAAGGCAGCAACTGGACTTGCTATTTCTCTCCTCCAGGCAGAACAAACCAGCTCCCTCAGCTTCTCCTCAGACACCATTTCCTCCAGCCCCAGGAGCACTTTGGTAGCCTCTGCTGGACTCGCTCCAGCTTCTGCATCTATCCCATAGAAGGATGCCCAAACCCAGACGCAGGAACTCCAGATGTGCTGTCCCAAGTTGAAAGGAAAAGCTGAGGGAAGGGGTTGTTCCCCTGCAGCCTTTCATGTCCTAATCATTATCTACCATTCTGCTCAGAAGATGTGGTTGCAAACCATCTCAGCAGGTGGAGAGGAGCTTCAGCCTGTCCACGTTAGCAAAAACGAAGGCTGAGAAAAAGCACAACAGCTCTTTGTGAGTACACCAAGAAAACAAACACCAAGGAGCAGAGAAGAACTGCTGATGCCAGCACACAACAGACAAACAAGGAGGAAGAGCTTGCCAGGAATAAATTCATGCCAAGAGTAGGGAAGCATCTAGCCAATGCAGATCATGGTTCAGGAGCAGCTGCCTAAAGGGTGTTGTGATCCCTTTACTTCTAACTACATTTAAAATTGAGTGAATTGGGTTATCAACAGAATTAAAAGGGCATGGCTGCTTGGGAGAGGCAGTAGGAGCTGGATGGTTCAGCAGATCTCTTCTCATGCTGTGTCATAACAACCAGCAAGAAGAAAGTGCAGCACATTTGCTCCATGTGCCATATTTTTAGTTTCCCCTCAAGTACAAAACACCCCATGGGTTGAGAAACAGGTATCAAGCACAACACACCACCCGTGCTGCCCAGACAAGTATTTCTTCTGACAGCAGCCACTGCCTCTGCATCTCCTGCACCAGGAGCACCGGTGCAACGATGCTGCCACCAACGGGGTCTTCTAAAGCCAAACCTGCCACCGCACAGGGGCCAGCCCCAGCACACCATCAGTGAGCAGGAGCCAGCCTGCTACTGCCTCCCCCCGCGCTGCCCACGGACAGACACACTGAAGCTCTGTGAGTGAGAAGGGTTTTGAAGGCAAAACAGTGAGTATTTTACTCCTGATTTTCAAAAAAGCAACGATGAGAGCTTGACTCAAACCAAGATACCAGAGGGAATACCTAACACCTCCTTCTGCACTGCAAATAGGCACGATGGAGCTGTGGCTGCTCTGCCCCAGTTAGGGACATCCCTCGGACACAGGCTGGCTCCCTTCCCCATGCTCCCAGGAGAAGGCAGGATGGAGGGCTGGAGCCCCTCTGCTGTGGGGAGAGGCTGAGAGAGTTGGGGGGTTCAGCCTGGAGAAGAGAAGGCTCCGGAGAGAACTTAGAGCCCCTTCCAGTCCCTCAAGGGGCTCCAGGAGAGATGGGGAGGGACTCTGGATCAGGGAGGGGAACCATAGGAGGAGGGGGAAGGGTTTGACACTGAAAGAGGGGAGATTGATATGAGATCTGGGGAAGAACTTCTTTGCTGTGAGGGTGGTGAGAACCTGGCCCAGGTTGCCCAGAGAAGCTGTGGCTGCCCCATCCCTGGAGGGGTTCAAGGCCAGGTTGGAGGGGGCTTGGAGCAACCTGGTCTGGTGGGAGGTGTCCCTGCCCAGGGCAGGGGTGGGACTGGATGATCTTTAAGTCCCTTCCAACTCAAACTATTCTATGATTCTATGAATAGCAGAGCAGGAACCAGCTGCCTTTCCCCTTTCCCTGCCCCTGACCTTCTCCAGATGACACAGGGGGAAAGGAATGATTATATTTCAGAGAAAAGGGGTAGGAATAAAACATCCCTGAAAGATCAGAGCATCCCAGTTGCTATTCCCTGAATTTCTCACCCCTGCTGCTGACCTAGATGCTCCCTGATCCGAGCCAGGCAGGGACCGCTCACAATGTGGCGTCTGTGCTGGGGGACAAGCCACGCTGTCAGGCACGACGGCCGTGAGGCTCAGCAGCTCTCCCCGAAGCAGAGGCTGCACACAGGCTGCTTACGCAGGCAGGCTAGGAGTTCTTGGCTAAACATGGCAAATAAAGGGGACAGGAGACACATGCCTTGTTTTTCATTCCATCTCCCACGCTTAAATTCTAAGCCTTCCCGGTTTTCTACTAAACAAGAGGAAAGCCTCTAAGAAAAATGACTTTAAGTCCAGCTTGGACCAAAGCTGCATGTAGCGCAGGAGGAGCAATCAGCCTCACCAGGGAGTAAAATCAAAGAGTAGAAAGCAGCAGAAATGACATGGGGACACCCCCAAAGGCAACACACCAACAGCCCAGGGTAAGCCCTGAACTGGAGCAGCTTCCTCTCGCCCACAGCCAGTTCCAGTAGGCTCTGCTGGTGGGGCTTCTCAGGTACCTGCTGCGGGAGGCAACGCTGGAGACATCCAGAGAGAGCAATCATTAACCACGGCAGTGCCAGCCCCACACACCCAGGGCCCCAGCCTGGGGGAGAGCTCGTCACAAGATAATTTGCTGCTTCAGCAATGCCTCTGGTTGGGCCAGTGCAGCCCACGCGGGGCCGACACCGGCCCATCCTGCTTGGTGTGAGGGCACCTTGGCACGAGCCCCCTCCCCAAAAACCCACACTGGTCCCCTCTACGGTAGCATCCCACCCCCCTGCACGGCTGCCAAGAAGCAGGAAAAGCCCTGTGGCTGTTCTGCAATAATAAAGCACCCGGACGCACCCAGGCAAAGCAAACACCGGAGGAACAACCAGGCACCGGCAGAGGGTCGGACTCAGCTCCTTCCCCAGGCACCGGGTGGTTCCAGGGGAAGCACAAAGATCTGCCTGATCCAACAGAAGACGGAGGGCAACGTATTCAGCCAAAACCAGGGGACATGTGGGTCAACGTCGCTGCCTCCAGAAAGCCTCTGAGCAGCTAATGAGCAGAACGAGCACTGGGCGTAGGGAACACGGGGAGACTCAGTCCCAGGAACCATCTAAAAAGGAAAATCAAGAGGCCAGGCAACAGGTTTGCACAGCCAGCACTATGTAGACTTTTATGGAAACACAAAAGGCGACAGGGGTCATTTTCCGTGAAGAAAACGGTACCCCAGCAGAGCCAAGTCCAGAGGACTCTGCTCGTTGTGTCCCAGCAGTGATTCCCCCATTTCTGCCTCGGGGAAAGGAAGAATTTTGCACCCTTCAGCTGTGGATATTTGCAGGGATTTGTCACTATTTGCTCAGCTGACGGCTTCACCCAGAACTGTGTCACAAACCCAGGGTCCAGCCCAAACCCCTATATCTGTGTATTAATACACTGCCCAGCAATCAGAGCCACACTGGGAAGAATAAGGCAGGCTTTTAGGGGAATCTTGTGCTGTGCAGCCACCAGAGTCCTGTTGCCATAGCAAAAATCATTTATTTATTTGCTAGGATTTGAACAATAATGAGTAATAGAGTACCCAGGAAAGGGAAGCCAGGGTAAACATTGCCCAACAAGCATAAATCTGAGTAGTCATAGAGGGCTCACTTAGAAAAGAAAAAAAAAAAAAAAAAAAGAGATGTATTAGAAA